GCAGTGTGTAACATCTGGAGAAACTTGCTTACTTTTGGGACCGAATGCGGCTGCAGACGGTGAACTGTCGCATTAGACCGTAGTGGTATTAGTCATTGCAGAAAGCCTTGTCTGAGAGCTCAGCTGTGATCCTAAAAATGTTACACTCTAGTTTTATTGCCGTCTATACATGTAAGCATCTGCTTCTTTCTATCTGCATCAGTGCAGGGTCTCTGGGCGCAGGAGCGGCGCTGTTCCGCATACCTGCAGGTCATTTACAGCAAGTTCCTGGTTCACCTGCTGTGTAAGAATGTAACTTCTTGTCTAGGTCACTCCCTGATCAGTTACAAGAAGTAAAAAAATAATGTGGAAAGCACTTCCAGGAAAAAGAGGTCAGTACCAAGTTTGATGAACTTTTTTTTTTTTTTTTACATTAACTGGCACCAATGAGAGTTTTTCTGAGTAAAATACATCCCCTTTACTAATAAAAACCCCAAAATGTTGACAAATATTCATAGAAATTCTTGTCACCTCTACATATATCCAGATACTGATTTCATTGACCTTCACAGATAAATTCTTCCTCCTGGAGACCTGAGCAAATGCCAGCTGAAGCTGACAGAAGGACCTCTGTTGACTTAGCAAACGTTAGATCTGACCCTGAGACCTGGAAAGTGTTGAAGAAGCAAGTTCATGCAACTAATGATGGGTTCTAGTTACAATTCACATTCACGCACATCTCTGCCCACCCCTCCCCAAAGCCAGACGCTGGGGTTAAACAGCTTTGTTTCGGGAGACTTCTAGGAGCAATTTGCTGTGGCTGTGTCAACAACCTGCTGCACAGAACTTTGTCCCCCAGACCAAATTTTTTGAATATTTCATAGCTTTCTCACCACCTCGAACTGCACGTTTATTGTCAAAGCCACCGCTCGCTGTTCCTGCTCCATCTCTTAGCAGCCTTCTCCCCTGTCTTTGTTCCTTGGGTCAACCCTGTTACTGGTGAGTTCAATAAATTTGCCTTGAAATCAGTGGCAAATACACGTCCCTTCAGTCTGAAGGCACGTTTGACCTAATCTGACACAGTCTTCATTAATAGACTGGGCTGCACTTTTAAAAATGGGATATATTAAGAAATGTTGCCCATTGAAATGCAAGGCCCTGGAGGCTGGGTCTGGTTAGGTTTCGTTCTTAATTGAAAGTGGTTGATTTCTGGGGTTGAAGCCAAGCCCTGCATCGGACACTGGGACTCCTGTGCTCTCCCAGGAGGAGAGTAGGGTGTCTCAGTGTGGGATTTGGACCCACAGCCCCGAGGAGCAGGGAGCTGCTGGCAGCCAAGATGCCATGAGCTTGGGCTGGCCAGGAGCAAGGAGCAGGAGCAGGCTGTGCTTTGCATCCCACTGCAAATCCACAAGCAAGCCCGGGATCCTGAACTCTTTCACAGAGGCCAGCAAAGAACACCCCTTTTCTTGGTAAAAAGCTTTCACAGCTTTCTTCCCCTGCCTTCCCCGCTCCCCCATCTGCAGCTGTGGCCCTGACGTTCATAGGGCAGAAAGAGAAACACAAAGAAAAGCACAGATCAGTATGGTGTGGGGGGCATCATCTGGGAGTGGGAAGAGCTGGATCATAGTCCAGGTTCCCAAGTCCTTTTATTTTGTGTGAAATGGTCTCTGGAAATCGATCGGAACGGAACATGCTTTGAGTTTTCTGCAGTGTGGAGTCACTCGCTGCTCTGGGCATGCTGCAGAGAGTGAGGTGTTCCTGAGTCCTGGTGCTGACAGCAACCTGTCACACAGATTTCTAAGGCTAAAATGAAATAAAATTTAAAAGGTCTTTAATTTTGAGCGACCAGTCTGTGGCAGTTTGGGCTTGATTTTTCAGACATGTGACAAGGCTACTGCACATAGAGCAGCTTTTTGCAGGGGGCTGCAGGAACGCCACTTTTTGCAGCTTCCACCTCCTGCATTTTTGAAATCAGGCAAAATGAAAAGTGAGATGCCCAAACTTGACGGCTGATTGTGAAAACTTTGGTTTCTATTTTCCCATCTGTCATTCCCATCCTTATAAAACTCAGCATCCAGTTTCATTGCCTTATGCTAAGTTAGGTACTGTATCTACAAAACTATCTGGGTCAGGTCCATACCCCCTGAGGTGACTAGGTGTCTCTCTCTTATCTCTGATAGGCTTTGAATTTGCTCCTGTGCATGCTAAATCATTGTATTCCATCATGTGGCAGACTCAATCTCTGCAGCTGGGAAATCTTTGTCCTTTAAAATATTCTAACACAGGCAAAACCCCCATCCCTGTGCCTGGATCTCCCACTGGCATTAATGAGGACGGTGTGAACGGGGTGACTGTCACGATGTGGTGCAACAGAGCACTTGGTGGATTAACTCTGCATACATCATGTATTTCCACACATAATAGACACTTGCTCCAAAATTGCCGGGTCTCACCTTCTTTGGTACTTGTGAGCTATGAAGTCAGCAGCTGAAATTAATTACTGCACTCCCCCTGCCATGGGAGAAGAGGGAAACCCTTCACTGAATGAGCCCTTCTTAAGAATAATTTTTGTTTGGAGTGGTTTCTAGTGTGAGGCGTTGAAGAACATTTTGCAAAATGGATCAGAAATACAAATTTTTGTCTAAGAGGAGAGTCTGTTTCTGTTAATACTGGTATCGGTCTGCAGTAGCTCCCCTAAAGTCTGCAGACGTAATTCAGGATAGCACCAATATAACCAAAGACACACCTGAATCTGGTTTTCTTGAAATCCTGATTGGGCCCAGCTCATTCTCAGTATTTCTAAAAACAATTTTTTTTTTTGCTTTAGGATCAGCAGCTAAAAGATTTAGCAAAACCCACAGATGCTGCACGACAGATCGGAACAAGAGGAGAAGATACCTAACTTGGTCATGAACACAGGGAGAATCTCCCTGCATACACCGGAATTTGGCCAGGAGTTAGCAATCTCTGTCGGTACAAAATACCCCAGTAGCTTTCATTTGCTTGCTCAGTCAGTACCCTTGAACCAAAAGCTGGATTTACCTGGCTGCTTGTAACAGTAGGGGCCAATTTTATTTGGGTAACTTCATTGATTTCAGGGGAATTGTTTCTGATTTGTACTAGAATAAGTGGGAGCAGATTTAGGTTCTTTAATGTTCTTCCAGTTTAGCTCTTGGAATAACTTATATTTCATTATTATGTGTTTATGTAATTAGTGCAATTATATCAAATTATATAATTGGTACAATTACTTGGACTCATGTAACCACTGCATATAGCATTCCATGCTGTAAAATCTTTTACTCTGGAAAAAAAAAAAGTCAATATTACTTGGGAATCTTAATTTGTTTTTAAATTCCAGTATCAAATTTAGGCCCTGACCACATGCAAGCAGCTTCTGGTTCACATCAGTGGAACCTCTCCGAGCAGGCAGCTTGCAGCCTTCATCATAGATACTGGGTTTTTAATCTGATTTGGCCAATTCTATTCAACAGAGGCCCTCCTTGAATGTGTGCAGCTCTAACCAGTCTTCCTTGTACAAAACAGAGATGTCAAGTTTTTACACACACGTGACATAACCCAAGA